CAGTCTCCAATTCCAAATTCGGTCTTCCTGTAGCACCGTCAAAGATCATGCTACCTCCCTACTCGGGACTTGCCAAATGGGTTTTTGGTAATTCCAGTTTTCTGAATTTATTGCGCTGAAGCTCCCATTCGAGATGGTATGACCAAGATTACAGATATCTGGATCCAACCGATAATCTTAACATTAACCGATACAGATCTAGTATTTTCAAAACTATCGTCTGTGAGATTTGAACTCTAGACCTGCCACTTGGGAGTGCAGCAACCCCAACACTTCACTAGGTCACTGCACCCTTAAAATTATTTAAAAGTTAATTTTTTAAAGCAGAATAATTTATTAATAAAAAAACTTTCTTTTATTTTACAATTAATATTTTAAGTATTGAAATACAAGTGCCGATAAATATAAATTAAAAAAAAAGGAATTCAAAGCTATAAAGTAAGTAACTGTGCTTTAAAAAATATCTTATTCATGTATATTAAGAACTTATCGTATTTATCTTAATTTAGAAATCACGTATTATTTGTGTACCCTTTCCAAGTTAAAAGCATTTTGCTTTTTCCACAATAAGTTTCAATTTGACTTATCATTTTGTGAATGGGGTGAAGTTTTGTTTTACACCTCTTGCTCATTAGATATTTCTAGCCTCTTTTTGTTTCTCAAGAAGTGTAAGTGTTTTGGTCATTAAAGTTATCAACTCATTGTAAATATCATCATTTTTATCAACTGACTCAATTATATCCTGAACGTTTTCAACTTCTTCATATGTAGTGTTAATTTGCTCCTCAACAAGAAACTGTTCATGATCAGTTATAAATAGCAGTTGGTGGTTTCTTCTAACATAGTTAAAAAATTCACTATTAATCTTCCCTTTTGCTATACTAGATGCTTGCAGATATAAAATCTGCTTGTTAAATAATATGGACAGCTACATACCCATCGATCCAAATCTGTCACATATGCCCTATTGATTTCACGAGTTGATAACACCCTCCATTCTGATTTAAATTTCTTTACCCACTTAGGTTTTTCTCTTCTGGCTTTAATTTGTAGAATTTTTTGTAGTTGTTGAACTATTACTCTCATTATCAAGATATAGATTACTAAGTCGAGACAAGGCTGAAAAAATTTGTAAAGGAAGTCTCTTTTTATAACTTTCCAATATCCTTCTACGAATATTGTAGTTTTAAATATTGACATTTTATCTTTACTGGAAGTCTGAGCCCACAATTTTTACTTTTGGTTGTCATACCATTCACTCTATAAATAACACTAAAGTGATACCAAAGAATGGGTTTTACAAAAATTATACATTTTATGAACAGCATTTTCATGAATTATTTTTTTGATAAGAAATTGTCCATCACATGTGGGAATTAAAAGGTGCTGGTAAAAATGTTTTTCAATCATTTTTCATACAGGTTCTTTATTTTCTTTAGGGCAAAACTTGGGCAATTGTTCAATACCTTCAAATAGGAATCAAGCACCGAGTTGAGACAATGGATTAAAGCTAGTATTTCTAGAAGATTTGTCACTTGCAAGTCATGCTATTACAGCTCATTTTATATGCCATTTACATAGTTAAACTTTAATTTCTGGCCAAATGAAACACACAGCAGAAATTTGAGCAAAATCTTTATCTGTAAATAAAAAGCTTGGGTTTATTTCTTTCTCATGCAATTTTGAAAGAAATCTTTGAATCATAGTGATACATATTCCCGATCTGCAATTCCCATTATTTTCTAAGAACAGATAAGCTAAAAGAAATCTAGTACCATTTATTTTAGCCTGAAAACTATATAACTCCATTTTAAAGCTATTTGTATTATCTAAATATTATATTTGTATGTGAGTATTAAATAATTAAACTTATACGTTTTTTTTTTTCTTTTTCATTTTCTTTTTTTTTATATAAATTTATAACTTACATGTCGCAACAATACCACACTCATTAATATTAGCATTCATTTTTTTTAGATGCTCATATAATCCTGTCATAAAGGCCAATGCATGAACTGGACATGTTTCAAGAATAATTTTATACTGGTTTTTATTAAGCCATTTTATTGCTGATTCGAATATATTATTATTATGCTTATATCTCCTTTGACCAAGCTCTGTCCACCAGAAGTGAATTTGCTTTTGTCTGATCAATAGGCTCATACCTTTATTAACAAGTTATGTATATATTTTCTGTAGTAAGAGATCAATATTTTTTTCAATAAAATCTTTAACATCTTGAGGCACTGATACATCATTTGGTTTTTCATGCAAAATGTTATGACTTATATTTATATATACTAAATTAGTTGTCTGATTAATAATAATTTTAACAGCACTGCCATATTGAAATCATTCCATGGATAGTCTATCATGACGCTTCGAAAGATCCTCATTCTTTTTTGGTTTTTCTGCCAAGACATCTCACTGTAAGCAAATATACCAATATGATATCTCATATATCCCCATGTATACTCTTTTATAGATTTATGCAAATTCATCAGTATCTTCAATAATCTCAATTAACTCTTCTGCGATTTCCTTTAATAATTTTTTAATTGTAGAAATATTTACATAGCACTCAAAAAAAAATGGCGGCACATTTATTAAACTATCCTGTTGAGAATACCTTTCTATAGAATATATAATATAGGTGCAGAGGTTATCTGGATTAATTATCTCTAATGCATCTAAACTCTCATGATCTTCTTCGTTTTCTTTGATTCTAGACTGTTTTCTCTTGGGGTGTAACTTCTAGCTACTTTATCACAGCAACTCTTGCAGGATTGATATGGATTTCTAAAACTTTTCATGAACTCCCTAAGAGGCTTTTTCTGTCTACATCCAGTACAAGTAGGAGTTTCCATTGTATTGTAATTAAAAAAGTATTAAGGTTTTAAGAAAATTTTGAAAAGTAGTTTTATTTATTAATTAAATAGGTTTTATGAATTAATTTGAAAAATGGTAGTCCAGTGAGAATCGCTTCTTTTTATATATTTTGATGACAAGCTGAAGATAATAAAGATTCTAAATACTTCATTGGGTGCGTTCCAGTTAAGCCTCCAGTACCTACTGCTCAAAATTCAACAAATTCAACAAATTCAGAGCAAATTAATACTTCTTCAAATAAAGTAACCGAGGAAACTTCCAATCAATCAACACCCACTTCAGAATTACATGAATATGGCTGTGCAGCACGTATTATTCGTCTGGAAAGATCGGTCGGAGGAATTGGGGGCAGATTCTTTGTAGTTGTGGAAGGTATAAAACTAGAAAAAATTCGTCAAATAATTGCAATCGCTCTGCTAACCATATTCTTAAATCTAGGTATTGCTCGAATACACATCGACCAGTACGTTTTTGGTAAACCTTACCTCGAAGCTGAGGTAACTGTATATCCAGAACCAGGTATTGTACATCGCCAGTTCGTATCGAGGAGATCCTAATTCTTTATTGCTCTCATAAAAATTTATTGCACGAAAAAAGCAACTTACCAGTTTAAATTCTTGTTCATACGTCTAATTAAGTTATACCAAATGACGATCAAGAATTGCAAGATTTAGCCATTTCCTTAAAGTCAACTGGCCGTGAACTTTTTATTATTTTACAAGATTTAAAGCTTCCTGTACAAATGCTAACACAGCTTCAGAAATTCATCGATGGTGCTTCTCCTGGATCATTGGCAGATTTATTGGTCAGCACGATCGAACCCCCTTATGAAGAAAAATTGGTAACCCTGCCACCTTTTTACGTGGTTATACTGGTTTACACTATGTTATGTTACTAATATCATTTGCTTAGAAAATTTTAGATGCTCCCGATTTAAAAAGCAGAATGACTGCTGCCATAGATATCTTGACTAGACAAATACATGTACAGTTATTACATTGCACACCATTCTGCTAATATATAAATGTAATTAAATAGTAATGTTTTTTTTTCTTATATTGTAGATTCTAAAAATTACACAAAAAATTCATTCCACTGTCGAAGGAAAGCTTGATAAGAAACATAAAGAATTCTATTTAAGACAACAAGTAAACACAGAAATTTAATTATGCGCATTACTTAGAGTCCATTGTTTCCGTTGTTAATTATGATGTTATAAACGTGTTATTACATAGCTTA